GCCTATAGCAAAGTGTTTTACACTACATAACACTTTCTTATTAAATACTGCAGACTTCTGTTCTCCAAAAGCTTAAAACAGTAGGTGAACATGTGACTGTTTTCCTTACTGAGAAGTTTCCTTACTGATCATGTTATCCATAAGCCTTGAGATAGACTTATTCTTGGTTCTTCTGTAGAATGACATGCATTCCCTCCTAAGGTACCTTATGGTCATCTTTGGGTGCACTTATAAAGAAGTAAATAGGATTGTATAGAGCCAAGCATCAGGATGGTAGGTTCATTTTTTGTGTGTTTTTCTTTTGAAATTTTTCATGAATGGAGACTGGAAACATGGCTCGGTGTGTAAGAACACTTAACTGCTGGTGCAGAGGACTTAAGTTCAGTTTCCAGGGTTGTTTTGAGTTGCATTTCTCTGATAGCCAAGGATTTTGAGCACTTTAAGTGTCTTTCAGCCATTTCAGATTCCTCTGTTGAGAATTCTCTATTTACTTCTGCACCCCACTTTTTAATTTCATTATTTGGTGTTTTGGTGGCTAGCTTCTTCAGTACATTGTATATTTGGAAATCAGCCCTCTGTCAGATGTGGGGTTGGTAAAGATCTTTTCACATTCTGTGAGCTGTAATTTTGTCTTACTGACTGTGTCCTTTGCCTTACAGAAGCTTCTCAGTTTCAGGAGGTCCCATTTATTAATTGCGGATCTCAATGTCTGTGCTACTGGTGTAATCACTGGTGTAATACAGCAGTCTCCTGTGCCAATTCATTTAAGGGTATCTCCCACTTTCTCTTCTAGAAGATTCAGTGTGGCTGGATTCATGTTGAGGTCTTTGATCCATTTGCACTTAAGTTTTGTGCATGGTGATAGATATGGTGATAGATAGATCTGCAATCTTCTGCATGTCCGAATCGAGTTGTGCCAGCGCCATTTGTTGAAGATGCTATCTTTTTTCCATTGTATAGATTTAGCATCTTTGTCAAAAATAAGGTGTTCATAGGTGTATGGGTTAATGTCAGGGTTTTCGATTCCATTGGTCTATCTGTCTATTTTTGTGCAAATACCAAGCTGTTTTCAGAATTACACCGGCCAGAATGGCTAAATTAAAAAACGCCAATGACAATCTATGCTCGAGAGGATGTGAAGAAAAAGGAACACTCCTCCATTGCTGGTGGGATTGCAAACTTGTACAGCCACTTTGGAAATCAGTATGGCGGTTGCTCCGAAAAATGATAATCAGTCTACCTCAAGATCCAGCAATTCCTCTCTTGGGTATATACCCAAATAATGCATGTCCATAAAACAAGGACATATGTTTAACCATGTTCACAGCAGCATTGTTTGTAATAGCCAGAACCTGGAAGCAATCTAGATGCCCCTCAACTGAAGAATGGATAGAGAAAATGTGGTACATTTATACAATGGAGTACTACTCAGCAGAAAAAAACAATGGAATCTTGAAATTCGCAGGCAAATGGATGGAACTAGAAGAAACCATCCTGAATGAGGTAACCCAGTTCCAAAAAGACAAACATGGTATGTACTCACTCATATATGAATTTTAGACATAAAGCAAAGGATTACCAGCCTATAATCCTCTTCACCACAGAAACTAGGAAACAAGAAGGACTCTAAGGGAAAAATGCATGGACCCCAGGAATGGGAAGGGGCAGGAACTCCTGAGCTAATTGGGAGCATGAGGGTAGGGGAGAGGGAGCTTCCAGAATGAGAGGAGGAGAAGAGGAGAGGAGAGAAGGAAATGGAGGAGCAGAAATATTGAGTTGGGGGAAGAATAGAGGATAGTAGGATGAGAGATACCATATTAGAGGGAGCCATTATAGGTCCAAGGAGAGATCTGTCACTAGGGAGATTCCCAGAGACCTAAAAGGATGACATGAACTGACAATCTAGGCAATAGTGGAGAGGATAACCTAAATGCCCTTCCCCTATAATGAGACTGATGACTACTTGTTATGCCATCCTAGAGCCCTCATCCAGTGGCTGATGGAAGCTGAGACAGACATCCACAGAAATACACTGAGCTGAAATCTGAATTTAGTTGAAGAGAGGGAGGCAGGGTCAGTACCAGGCTGGTGAAACCCACAGTAACAGCTGGCCTGTACAAGGGGGAGCACATGGACCCCAGACTGCTGTCTGGGAGGCCAGTACAGGACTGATCCAGACCCCTGACATGGATGTCAATGAAGAGGCCTCCGCACTCTAGGGTGCCCCTGGTAGTAGATTAGTATTTTCCCTGGTGTAAGAAGGGACTTTGAGAGCCCATCCCATGGGAAGGGATGCACTCTCGGCCTGGACATACCGGGGAGGGCCTAGGCCTGGCCCAGAATGACGTAGTGTACTTTGGGGAGCCCCTGTCCAGAGGGCCCTACCCTGCCTGGGGAGTGGAGGGTGGATGGGGAGGTGAGTAGGTGGGGGAGAGGGGTATGTGGCTGGGCGAGGGAGAAGGAATTGATATGTGAAGCAAGCTTGTTCCTAATTTGAACTAATAAAGAAATTACAAAAATCTTCAGTTTCCAGCACCATGATGGATGGCTCATACCACTTCCATCTCTAGTTCCTGAGTACCCAATGTCTTCTTCTGACTTCCAAGGGCTCCTGCATGCAGGTAGTGTGCATACATACACTCAGGCATGCACATGCATAAGAAAATAATGAAAGGCCCACCAAGAATGAAAAGTACCCAACTACTCCAAGTGGCAGAAACTCGGGAACTGACAGTCTATAAGGAACAAACTTCTAAATAAAGAAAAAGGACTCTAAGAGAGAAAATTATACAATCCTATTCATTCTTTAAAAGTTGCATACATTCTAGTGAGATAACTGAAGAGTATACCAAATGAGGGTTTTCACTTGAAATTTTGGTTAAAGCTACACACTGGAGGCACTTAGCCTCTTGTGGGCCCCGTTTTTAAAGGCTTGTCATGAAGATTACTAATAAACACAAAAACCCTGGGGAAGAATTGTTTCTGCTTCTCTGCATGTGAGGGAATAGACAGCAAGAGGTGAAGTCAATGGGAAAGCCCACCACAGACTCACAGGGAGAATGAAGGATTTAACCTTAGCAGCCTTCTATTTTTTAATAGTATTCGGCCAGGTCTGCTGGCATTGGTAAACAAACCAAACACCGTCCCTGGTATGCCAGGAAAAGTACTCTATCCCTGAGATGTACTCCAGACCCTTAGCAGGGTTTAGTTGTCCCTTGGCGGCCTGCTCTTTTCTGATGAGAGGCAGACTGGGTGAGGATCTGTGGAAGAGGGAGGTGGCGGGGGGGCACTGGGAAGAGTCGAGGATTGGGAAACTGTGGTTGGGATGTATTGTATGAGAGAAGAACCCATTTTCAATAAAAGGTAAAAGAAAAACACTGGAATTGAAACAACTTTTATGGTACTAAAGCATGGAGACATTCAAGTATAATTAAACAAAAAAACCCTCTAATAATATAATTAAAACATTAAATGTCTAGTTTTGGGTAGATGTATATTTTATCCAGTTGCTATTCATTACTTTAGTGAAGCTATACTTTTTTAATTATAACAAAACCCTAAAGCTCTGTTCAAATATATGCTTTTATAGGATTCCTTGAGTAGTCTTTACAAACCTGCCCATTTCTATATTTAGGCAAGGTTTACAAGCTGGCTGACTTAAAAAAAAAAAGTCTTACAAAGCAGCTTATGTTCTGAAATCCAGGCTTATCCTCAGTGAACATCCATGCACAGTCTGTTCAGGATTGTGATCAGTAAATGAAGGGAAAATTGAAATGAGGTAACTATTGCATGTTCTCTGTCACATATACATTTTCCAGACAACCGTGCTTTCATTCTTCTTGAAATAAGAACCTACCCAGAAATCTTGTCTCTCCCTGGTAGAAATGAAGCTTCCGGGAACAGTTCTGTTTCACAAATGGTGGACCCAATGAGAAGCATAACCACTTACATCCTTGCAGCTCATTCTGAGTGGCCTGATAATTCCCTGATGCAGCAAATGGTTTTTATTCCTAAGTGTTAGACATTTATTACTGGAAGATATACTGCCTGTGTTTCTAGATATTAGCAAAAGTTACATTTGATTGGCCAACAGTTGTGCATTAATGGCCCTTGAGAGACTATAGAGAATATGTGGGGTGTGACAGGGGCCCATTCTTCTAGCCTAGATTGCAAGTGTATCCAGTGACTCATCGGATTTAAAACAGTGAGATGAATATGCCCAGGGGAAGCATTAGGCATTGTGGGAACTGCAATTCAAAGTATGTGAAAAACAGACAGCTCTGAAAAGCCAGAAGACTGGATGAAGGGAACAGTGAGGCTCTTTATGTTTCTAAATTATTTCCTTTTTTAATCACATGAAGAATTTGTCAAAATCATAAACATAACCCAGCTATTACTACAGTAATTAATAGTTATAGATCTTCAACCAGCTAGGATTTTATCTCTACCATATTTCTAAAATAGAACCCTATAAAAGTATCCTTATTAAATCAAATTTAACAGCCATTAAATACATAATTTAAAGTGGAATTTTCATATATTTACAATTAAATGGATAAAGCTTAGAATAAATATTAGCTCACTTTTGGATAGTATCCTGGAAAAATACAATCTCTGTGAAGTTTTGAAAGAATTGGAAAAATTGCATTTTCCCATTTCCAAATAATTAAGGAAATAAAATTAAGTTTCTCAGAATTAGTATGTATACCAGCAAAGCCATAATATAGAAAGAATACTTCTTTTAGGACTTCATACCCAGGAGAGAGAGATAATTTTCTGAAACCTGTGTGGCTCATATTAGGCAAAAGCAATGTTACTGTCAGTCATGCAAGAAATTATTTGTTTCTTCAACTGGCAATGAATAATTCAAACCATTTTATTTGACTGTGTGGTAAAATAAAACGCAATACAATAAACTGACTACTTTATTAATTTATTCTCTTAATTCATTTCAGCAATCAAAATAAGAAGGGAAAAATTTTCTGATTTCCTGCCAAGGGATTTGCTCTAAATTGTGCCTTTTAACTAAAATACCCGACACTGAATCATGTACACTGCCAATCTAAAAAATGAATGCAGATCATGGGAAGGTTTTCTATGGAACAATGTTTATATAATGCCCACTTGACCTGATTTGCTTGTCCCAATGAAAAGTACTCTGGGATACATTCATTTCACTCAATTTCTTCGCATGATGTGATGGCCAAACAATGGTCAGTTGTTTGTAGGTGAAGAGTCTCTTCATGGATGCTCTTTCTCCTCAGTTGACATCTTCCTTTCAGGACAGTGTACATTACGCCATGCTCACAACCACTAACTGGGTTTTACAAATAATTTGCCTTTTCTTTCATGGCAGTACATTCAGGGGAGGAAAAAGAGACCATCTCTCTCTCTCTCTCTCTCTCTCTCTCTCTCTCTCTCTCTCTCTCTAGTACGTAACAGTTAATAAAGTACATGTGTAGGTGGCCAGGAAACATTTTATGACTAAAACTTAAACAAACACTGTGGTGGGCTGACTGAGAATGTCTTCCATAGGTATTTGAACATTTGGTCCCATGTGGGTGGCACTGTTTGGGGCAAGTGTGGCATTGTTGTAGGAATTACATCACTGGGGACAGGATTTGAGAGTTTAAAGATCTAAGCCATTCCCAGTCCATCGTACTCATGGTTTGAGGATGTAAGTTCTCATCTGGCTCCTCCTGCCATCATGCCTGCTGCTAGCTGTCACACTTCTCTGCCATCCCTCTGGAACTAGAAGACCAACTAAACTCTTCCAAAAGTTGCTTTGGTCTCTGTGTTACATCACAGCTATAGAAAAGTAACTAATAAAGACATAAATGAAGTTATGAAACCTATACCTCATTTACAAAACACTAAATACTGTTACTGATGACTGAAGGAGAATATAATTTTACAAATAAAGACTTAGTGAAACTTAAATATTTTTTCCATCTTGGACTCAATAATTTATGAAATATAATACGTTGAAAATGTGCCTGGAGATAAAAGAAGGGGGCCCGCTCACAGGGCTCTCAGTTACATGTGGATGGAACCACACGAAGATGGAAGTTCTCCCTTAAGACAATGTCATTTGTCTCTTGGCAGACACTAAGAAACCAGTTATCCTTGAATAAATGCCATAGTCCAGCTTTATTCCCTAATTACAAAGAAAGATCATTTTCGTGAAAGGTAGTCAGAATAAAATAGTTACAAATGATTCATTCCTGGTGACAAAATTTCCTTCATAGTACACATGCCCATGATGCTTTATTTACAGATTATAGCCAAATTTCCCCAAGATTTTGAACATTGCACCAACTGTAAATTGGCCACTTTTTACATGTTCTTTAGGCCAACAGACATGACTGGCTCTATTCTAGTTTAACCATCCAACTCATATCCAGGAGGTAAATAACACCATCTGACTCCAACAGAAGTTTACATTAAAAATTCCTCTTCGTGCTGGGGATAGTAGAGCACTTATTTAGCATGTGCAAAGTCCTAAGTACTGAAAAGAGGAAAAAAAATCAAACAAAAAAGTCCTCTTCATACATATAGACCCCAGTAAAAAAAATTAAATATTATATAAACGATGGGAAATACAATTCTAGAATAGGTATCAATGGCATGGTTGTTTTCTAGGATGATTCTACCAACGTTTCCTCCCGTAGATTTTCTCTTTATCCGAGACAAATCTGTACAGGGGCTTCCTGTGTATTTGGCTCTCATGGAGTCGTCTTCTGACTGTAGAGAGAATGAAGTCTGATCTACATCAGTCTCGCTGCTGTCATGGTAGCAGCCATCGAAGGCCATGGCTTGAACTGCATCGATATTGTACACTCCAGAAACCTGTCCAAAAAAGGCTTTTCTTTAGTAAGTCATAAAAATGATGTTATGGATAGGAATTACAGAAAATGTAAGTCATAAACCTTAACCTTGTCTTGTTTGTTACTTAAAAAAAAAAATAACAAAAAACCCCCCAGAATTCTAGTTTTCCTTCTGGCATGTGACTAAAAAATTCATTTAATAATAAGTGGAAAACACCGTTTTGCAAATCCTGAGGTAGCAAGGAGGTTTATATTTAGTTCCATGAGATGGTTAGGTATCACATGATTATATATTATACTAGTATAATGTAAGTAATTTCTAATACAATCCTGAACTGATACACAGTTGTCCCAGATGCTTGCCTTCCTTTCTTCTGAGTGACAAGAACAAACGTCTGCCACTGCTTTGTGAGTTGAAAGTGAATGTGACTTATCACATCATCAATATAGGCTCCTTGTATTTGCTTTCCAACTTACTTTCCTCTTTATAGAGAACACAATAACACAGAGATCCATGTCTTTTAGTTTCTGGTCTCAAACCAGAACAATAGTAACTGCCTATTTACACTTAGTGAAAGGGTTTTATTTGCCCTTTAAAATGAAACTAGCCAGGCCTTCCCACTTTTGCCTAAAACCACTTCTACGTGATGTTAACAAAACCCAATAAACTAAAATAAAGTTGTCTTAGTTTTCTGAAGAATTAAATTATCAATTATTTCTAGCCTGATTGAATCTGTACAGATTTTTTTTTTTCTTTTGAGTTTTGCTTTGGGAGGCAGTGGTTCTCACTGGCATGGAGCAGTGTTGAGGAGGCAGCAGCTGTTGGTAATTGCTTTTGGAGAAAATAAAATGCTTCTTGATCTTTGGGGAAGTTGAAAACATGAACAAATATGAAGAGGCCTTTCTAGATGAAATTATTCAGAATTTAAAATGGAGGCTGCAGAGTCAACTCTATTAATATGCATATTTGGTTCATTGCAATTTAAAACTATAATATTTTAGTGAATGGAAAAGACACAGAGACTTCTGTGCAGTTCGTTAACTAACCAGTGAAGAACTACACTTTTGAATTACATTATACGTTTTTAATAACAAAAATTCTCTGTAATAAATTCAATATGGACAGAATAAACATGCATTGAAGTTAAGACTTAATAGTCACTTAAAGCAAAAAATATGCAACTACAATTTTAAGTATATAAAAGCATATATATATATATATATATATATATATATATATATATATATATATATGTTTTTATATATATATTTTTTTTT